CAGTTAATTTATTCTCAAATTTTGTTTTACTATTTTTGGGGTTTTTTTCTGCCTTTTTTGTTGTGCCAATCAGTAATTCCACATTCATGAGAAAACCTGTGATGTCATTCAAGGAAGAAAGCCTCAAAGTTACATCAGTTTACACACAAAAAGTCCGAAATCTTCTTAAATTTTCCTAGACTAAATGTTCTCGTACTGATTCGTTGTCATGCACATACCAGCAAGGATCAATCCTTCTCTCAGGAATGTTTTCGGTAATTAGGCCTATATATTCTGGGCTCAGCAAAACAGAATGTGAACAGGAAAACCTATTCACGAAACTCTTTTCCCTGGATGACATCACAGCAACAGCGCCCCCTCAGAATGTCCTGAAAGGCGTGGATAATTTTTAGTGTTTAAAAGGTGCACTTTTCCATGCATGTATTTAACCAAATACGAATGTGAAAGAGGTTTCATACATTAAAGAAGAGTACAAGAGTTGCAGAAAACTCGTGTCTAAGAAAAAAAATCATGCTCAGCTACACTTTAACAGCTTCCAGTTAGTAGTTTAACGCGGACTATCACCGGTTAGCTGCCTTCCTTGAAGACAACAGTGATCAATAGATGGTTTTCTATTTCATACGAATGTCAGTGCGCCACCTCGATATGGTGAAAGCTGCGTAGTTACAATGTGTGCGCGTGGTACATCAGCAATGAGCAAACACTGCATAATTCATGATTCCCAGTGACGCTAGATAACGCAGGAACCAAATTTAAAACAGTGACGAAAGTATAAACTATCATAAGAGTCCCTCCTCAGGTTGAGACCCGACCTCCAGACATAACTCAGAAAAAAAGGAAAGATACTAAATCTGCCAAAGGATACACACGCAATGCTGTACATGTACAGTGTGCACTTCAGATCCAGATGTTTAATGCTTCTCTTCTGGTTCATGTGTACAGCTTGATGCACAGACACAGGCACAGATTGACTACAATGAAATTAAAATAAAACAGAAATCATGAGTATGGTACATCCGACGTCTAGGTGATAATAATACATGTATGTGTGCCCACTTTGAACATGTAAATATACATGCACCCAATGTTTACTCCGACCTCAATTATAACTTGCACTGAGGTGTATCTAAGTGACACTAATACATGTATTTAAGTTCCCCTAAAAGAGTGTGATGCCAAATATTTAAGTTAGGCAATACGAAACCCCATAATTTTGACTATAGCTCCAATATGTAGGCCCCCCATTTACGTATCTGTATTATTTACCATTTACAATAAAGTATTCCACCGATGTAACAGCGTGGCCTAAATGAGTGAGTGTCAGCTTATACAAGACTATAAATAACCCAGTAATTCCTTAATCAAATTCTTAAATTTAATATGAAAATCCTGAGAATAATGAGCTCTAACCGTTTAATAAACTTCGGCAGGATGGGCGAATCAAAATCTGTCAGATGCAAAACGTGACGGAGCCACCTTGCTTTCAGTGCTGTTTTTATGGGCCCCGCTTATAGCGCCCTCAATAGGTTAGAAATCAAAAATGAGTTTGGCCGCTACAGATACCAAAGGCCGACAATTTACAGTTTCAGTAATTTATTACACATAAATAAACATATAACCGGAGGAGGAGCCAAATTGTCCAAAAGAACTTACATAGTTCGCTAACCAGGCCCGAGCAGAGTTGAGTCGAAGTTGTCCACCGATACACATTACAAAAATGACTAAGGAAAAATGAACAGAACCTCTCACAACCAACGCCCAGTCTCAAATCCACGCCGGGTTGAAACCACAGAAAAGTTGTATAGTAAAGCAATGAGGGCTCCAACAAAAAAGGTTCCAGTTGTATAAATATAAAGAATGACTAATCTTATTTGTGTGGTCCCAGCCAGGGGCCCTTCTGGCCGAAACCAGGCAATGGTATGCGAAACATTTAAATTGAAAGCTGCTGAGGCCAGTACAAAATAACTTTGTAACAATATTAATGAGCTTCACAAAAGTGTAAATTAATGTACTTTCATTGTTTATCAACGACAACGACATTACAGTCGAACTATCGCTTTCGACTCTTTACAAAACTTAGTTGTGTACAAATGCCTAGTTTTCATTAATTAAAACTAGATATTTCATACAATTGTTGGGTAAAAATAAACGATTTAAGTTTAAATGCACAACTAATTGACCTCAAATATAGTAGAAACATGCTTAAAACCGGTTAAGTAACTGTTTCGATAAACAGAAGGAATTTTCTGTTTCGAAATTTAACAGCTTTCTACCCACATTTCAATCACACATCCGTTGCAGTGAGTGGCCTCCGTTCGTCTTCTGTCGAGTTAGCTTCCGCTTCCAGCCGTGATCTGGGTACTCGTCTCCTGCAACGTCAAAAAGTCCCGGAGGTGAACCCACTGATAACATTGTATTTGCAGGAGGTTTGCACTAACTTCTGTTTGTAAAAGAAACGCTGCGGAGACTCAACCCGAGCGATAGAGTTGATTTGCACACTGTGGAATTACACATTGCTCTAGGTGACTTGAAATTTGACTTGACAAACTTATATCATGTCTCATTTTTTACAAATGAGAATTTTAACAGATCCATTATTATGAAAACTTGGCAAGATAATTATGTCTGGTGAAACCC